CACATTTGACATATAGACCATCCCACATCAATGTTGAGTTACATTTATAATACCTAATATTTTCCAATTATGAAGGATTATTTGGATTGAAAGACAAGCTACTTTTGAAAAATGTGTTATCACTCTGCCTCCTAGAAGTTTCTAGGTGAGATGCTTACATGAGTTGGAGAAGCAAATGAACCAAGGCCCCTGGAGGAGGCAGAGCAAAAGGGAATATATAGGGAACAGTATGCATGCCATGACTCTGGACTTGTTCCCAGGAGATAAAAGAATAACTGGAATCAGAGAAAGGAAGAGACATAGAGAGAACACTTTGTTCCAGTTTCATGAGTTTACACCAGATTGTAAAAGCTCAGAGTTTGACAATATTCATATCTCATGATTTTTGTAGAACAAGTACCAGATTCTGGGGACAAACTGTAAGGTCTTCTTCCAGGATCTATCCCATGCTGCACAGAACCTACAGGTGCCACTTGTACAGAGTCACAGCACCTCTCTTCCTGGGCTCATTTTCCAGGGTGGCTATCATCTCATTTTCATTATTAAACCAAGAGTTCTCAAACCACTGTTCAAGCTCTGACCCTTGGAGTTCCCAAGACATATGGAAAGAATCTATGGGGTTCAAACCCAGTTCATCATAACAGCAAAACATGATCCATCTTTTCTATTGTAGGACACAGTAGAATGTTCTACTGTCTACAAGACCTGCTTTATTTTTATCTATCACCAATCAAATCAGATATTAAAGAAATCTGAAAAAAATCTGAAAAGTGATTGTATTATAACCTATTTTTTGAAAATGTTCTTCGAGAGATAGAATGGATGCACAATAGGAGAGGATGTGGGGAGGGACTGAGAGGAGCAGAGGGAAGGGAAAGCATAATCAGGTTATATTATGTTAAAAAAGAATCTATTTTCAATAAAAGGAAAAAGGCATTCTTGTTCAAATACAGTATTTAAACATGTCTGTAGTGGTATTTGCTCCATCAGTGACTTTGGGCTATACGGCCCGAAGGAGGACATGGAAGTCCTCTGGAAGTCATAAGTAACCTCTTAAAAGGAGAGGAAAGAGGATCATGTGGGTTTGTTGTTGTTGTTGTTTTAATCCTGGCATTATTTAATCCTGAACACCTAATGGCCTGGGAATTAAAGCCGGGTCCTCTGGAACATCAGTCAGTGCTCTTAACTGCTGAGTCACCTCTCTCCTTGAAAAAATACCAAGAGGAGATTCTATTAATTACTTAGGATATAAGACAGATGTATAAAATTTAGACCCCAAAAGGTACAACTTAGGAGAGATTGATTGCAGACTCTTAATGATTTACAAAGATTGTTAGGAAGCATTTCCAACCTATAGACTATCATTGGAATACCTAAAGATGGACTAGTAAATTGCCCAATACTTTCAAAGGGGACAAGTACTTAAGTAGTCCAAGAGAATTATCAGCTGAAGTTGAGAAGGAATTGGCCCTAGTAGAAAAGAAAGTATGAGAAGCATGAGAAGCACATGTGGATTGTGTGAATCCAGAGCTTAACTGCATTCTGGTCATTTTACCCTCCAGACAGTCCCCTACAGGGATTTTGATGCAGAGGGAAGATATTGTATTGGAATGGATATTTCTACCATGTAAACTGAGTAAGAAGTTAAAGATATATGTTGATAGGAATGGACCCAGCAGAAATTGTAGTACCTTTAACTAATGAAGAAATTTCCTCTTTACGGAAAGATAACGAATATTGGCAAAGAGCCTGCAGTAATTTTTTTGGGAGAGATTAACAACTGTTATCCCAAAAGCAAGAGAATAGAATTCATAAAACAAAACAAAACAAAAACCCTGAATGGGTCCGTCCTTACATTGCATGGCAAGAAACACCACCTCCTTCAGGCCATATAGCCCAAGGTCACAGGCAGAGCAAATACCACTACACGTGTCTTATCATTTTAGATAAGTTAATGGACATTTTAAAATTTTCAACTTAATCTCTATAATCAGTAACAATAGCACAAATATGAAAAGACCCTCAACACAATCATGCATTATAAGAAAGTAAAATGAACCTGAGAAAAATTATTAGAAGTACCTGTTTTGTTTACAAAAAGCCATGCTTGTTCAACATGTAAATTGCATCAAATAAAAAAATAAGGATTGTGTAAGTGATGCAAACAACAAATAGAAAAATAATTCATAATAGACAAAACCAAGTGTCCCTGTAAAAAAACCTCACATCAGAGGGTGTGGCACACTAACCAGCAGTTCTCAGCAAGGCTCATTGTATAGTCATGCCAAGGGTCATTTGGTATGGTAATTGTCTATAGATAAATATGATGACCATAAAGAACCAAAGAATTCAAACCAGAAGTGGCAGGGGCCATCTGATTTTCTCTTCTTTTGACTGAGGACTACACAGTACTCTCAATTGATTACAATGATGATCAGACCCCCATGCAAATCCCAACAAATCAGTTTAGAAGAAAGGGCAAGTGCATGAAGATCATACTTCATCATGTCAATTCTGTTGGAAATACTTTCCTCAGATATTGAGTAGTTAATGCCCTTTTACTATCCAAATGAAAACAATCCATAAATAAGGATTTGCAACCAAGCCAAAAGCAAGCAGCTATAGTTAGACAGCCATCTTGACAGTTGTACCATATATATTTTAAAGTTATCTCCTAAGAAGGACTTCTTTTTGTTAAAACTTAGGCTTTAAAACCAGACATAAGACTGCTTCTCCAAGTTTTAACACTGCTAGGTGAACAATGAGGGCCATAGCTTCTGGATCATTTTGTACCTTTAGAAACTGCCTGTCACTTCCCTTAATTCCTTGCTCAATCATTTAGAACAAAACACAACACAACAAAAATCTCAATCCACTCTGCCAGCTCAACAAAAGGCTTTGTGTGGGTGTGTGCAAGGAAGTAATTATGAGGTTTTTATTTCACTAATTATTCTTCAGCCTTTGAAATGTCAGTGTAGGTCAAAGTAGCAGCCAATGTTTTGAACCAGATCTGAATGAAAATAAGGAAGCCACTGCAGGAATAACAAGGAAAAGAATCAAGACTAAAGTAATTTGACACTATGAATGACAGAAAATGAAGTTCAAGGTCACAGGAACTTCAGAATTTCCATCCAAGAAATTTCAAAACCCCCAATGTCATGCAAAATTTATTGTGTAGGGGTAGAAACATTGACTGCCTTCTATCTTCACCATGATGGTACTCTGAACATGTGTAAGAAGAAAATTAAGTGATGCAATTAATTTTAAATATTTTTTAAATTATAGACAGCATTTTTTTAAGTTGCCACTTCTAGGAACTGTGAGTTTATTCCAAATACTGTACAACTTCTTGTAATATGGATAAACTTTCTGGAGAAATTATGTTCTTATGCTAGTTATTATGTATTAATTTGAGGCTAGGGACTAACATCTGATTAGAAATCATTTTTATACATATTATATTGGGACATTTTTCTAACTTCCACAGAAGATAAGCATACCCTGAGAGGGAAGAATGTGAGTAAGGCAGGTGAATTGATTGATGTGTTCTCTGCTAACTAATATGCATGAATAAGCGGAGTTTCCTTTAATAAATTATCCCAGGAGGTTACTAGACTTAGGTGCAGCTGATTTCCCTGACCCCAAACCTTAGGACCAGCTAAGTTTACACAGTGAAGCAAACCAGAATGGAATAAAGTGATTCCATTCATTTCAGTCAGGCCCATGACTGATACCCAGTGTCATGACCAAATTGATCACACAATGGTCTCCATCAATCTTTGCAACAGGAGAATTGAGGAGATTAGTTGTACTGTGGCCTGTTCATTGTACCTTCCATAGATACAGCTCAATCTGAGAGGAGAAAGAAGAGTAAGTTAATTAAGGAGACAGGGTTCCCTCTGATAGCTTCTTTTTCCAAATTTCGATGGGTCTAAACCATCCCACCCCCTGTTTCTTTAAGTACATTCTTCAAGCTCACTGCCTCACCAACGAACTCTGACTCCACCCTCAACAAGACCTCTCCCACCCAGCATTGACCTATATGTTTGCTAACTTGAGAAGCATTAACCTAGCTACTAACCATTTGGGGAGTGATTGAGTTTTCACTATTAAGCAAAGTTGTTTATAAGATCTGAGCGATTCAGATAGTTTGAGATCAGAGTGGTACTTAGGAAGAATAGACCGAGGCTTCCAAGAGGTCTGACTTCAACCCTCATTCAAAGGTGAGCTGTACCTGAAACAAAAACACTCCCTGAACAGTTACTTCAGTTAGCCTACTTCCTACTACTCCAGCCCAGGGAGGTTCAAATATGAGTCACACATTGAGTTTCTACAATAAGAAAGCAAATTAGACAGGAAACATTTATATTAATATACCTTTTAACCCAATATGAACAAAATATTGTTCAATATTAAATCAATATAAAATATGAAAGAAATGGATTACTACTTGTGAGTGAGTGCTTACTAATCTTAGCAGTTGTACTAAGGCTTCGACATTGGATTGTAGTTCATTCATTGAGCATCTATTGGTCAGAATTAGACACAAGTCTAGCACTCAAGAGATATATATAACAGAATGCTAGCTCAAGGGTGAGGATCATGGCTTAACTCAATCCAGTGTGTGTTACTCAGGGAATCATGCATTTTTTACCTATTCAACTTGAGTTTTGATACTAGACTCTGAGATTTATTTTATGTCATAATATTAATGTTGCTTTTGTAAGTATATGTGTGTATATGTATGTATTTGTTTATATGTGTATATGTGTTTGTATGTGTATGTACATGCATATATATATATATATATATATATATGTATGTGTGTATATATGTGGGTGAGTGTGTGTTTGTGTGTGTGCATGTATACATATGTGTGTGCATATACATGTGCATGATCCAGTTTCAAGCATGTGCAGCAGTGTACTTACACTCTGTTAACTAAGCTATTCCCAAGTGAGGTCTGTCCCTTCCAACCTACCAGGTGAGGTAAATACTTACTCTTAGTATATTTTCCAGGCTTATCCCTAGATCAAGGAACTTGCCATGAATTCCACTGTGTACTTGATGACATAAAACTTGTTCTCCAATCCTCATTTCTTCATCTGAAAAAAAAAAAAAACGTAAATAGCAATGGTCCTATCACAAAGTTGTTCTGATAATGCACATGATCTAGCCCAGTGCCAGGCATGTAAGGGGTCAATAAATGTTTATTGTTACTTCCCGTCTCTCTTCCACTTAAATAATTGCTGAAGAGAAAAGGAATCCGCTGAAAACAAAGAAAAGCAAAGAAACAATGACCCAGGATTGATTTATAGACATGATTTACAAGAAGATAAGTAAAATGACAAGCTTTCACATCAAGAGTACCTAATGCCCAACATTAAACAGGATGCCAGAGAGCTACTGTGTTTTGGAATAAATTTCGGTATTAGCTAAGCTAGAAGAGGCAATAGTTACAAATAAATAAATAAATAAATAAATAAATAAATAAATAAATAAATAAATAAACTTAAATTTTAGGAAATGATTTTTATTTAGCTCATGTGCTGAAGTTACGAAGTAGCTCTCATGGACCTCCAAAAGACGGATCTGTGATAGAAGTTACCTGTATCCTTTGGGTGACAAGTTAAATACCTGGCCTCCAAGGTAAATACAATAGGTTAATAAAGCATGGAGCCTATGGAGAAAGTCGGAAATAGATGCAATGTTTCCAGCTGTTTTCCATCAGTCAATATACAATTAACAGCTACAGTGGAACTCCGTCTTCCAATAAGCCTGGAAAAAAAGGCTATGAAGTAGAATTTGAAAAGGAAAGCATTGTTTAAGGTATCTGCTGATATTTTGTATGTCTAAGATATATTGTGAGGTATTCTATAAAATCTTTATTCCCAAGTATATGGCTGTGTTGATGAGTTACAGAATGATGGGAAGGACCAACAAAAGGCAGGTGATAACATAGTGAAATCATTGATCTCCATGTGTTCCAGGCAAAATTTGAAGACCAGTAAAAATTGCAGATTTGTTTCATCTATTGCAGTGGTTTTCAACCTTCCTAATGCTATGACCCTTTAATATAGTTTCTCATGTTGTGGTTATCCCCAACCGTAAAATTATTTTCATTGCTACTACACAACTGTAATTTTGCTACTGTTATGAATAATAAGGTAAATATCTGATATACAGGATTTCTGATATGCAACCCCTGTGAAAGGGTCATTTGACGCCCAAAGGGGTCACAACAGACAGGTTGAGAATGGCTGATCTAATGTCTAATGTCTTGTTAGTGCAGTATTGTTTTAAAAGTTATAATGTACTTTTAACTTTCTAGTAGTTATCATTTAGTACCTTCACAGAGCCAGAGATATCAACCATATGTTTCCATTATACAGAAAAGTAAGCTGAGTACTGGTAGCTGGTAGGGTCAGAAACTGTCCTCCAATATGTCTAATATTGGGTGCCACAGAGCACTCAAATACAGCCTCTTACGTAGGCCAATCCCTCTCCAGTGCAGTGTGAGGCATTCACCCACACACTCGATGACCCCAGCACAGGTTCAGTCTGCTATGCAGTGACTCCTTTCATTTACCAGTTCTAGCCACACAGTTTCATGGAGTATTTCTTACTCTGCTTTGAAGGCAATAAAAAAGGATAATAATTTTTCTTTCCTATAACAAATATTTTGATTAAAAATTGTTAAACCTAGAGCCCAATCCCGGTTCTTGGATATGTTTTAAATCTTACTGATTATTCTTTGACCTGATATTTGTATTTTGTATATGATACATAATAATTGAATAAACATCTTAAGAATATCAAATTCAGCCCCTTTCCTTCCATACTTTTGGTTCTGTACTAAATTTTGCTATTTGTTTGCTTGTTTTTATTTTTGGATTTCGTATGTGAGTACTGTCTTAGTGTCATTTCTACTTCCCTTTTCTCCTCTTCAATACTTCCTGTGTCCCCCAATCACCCTTCTCAAACTCATGTTTGTAGCATCATTCATTGAAGAGACTAGCCTTTCCCCCAATGTGTATTCGTATCCTCTCTATCAAGATCAGTATCCTGGCAGTGTATGGGTTTTAGTCAATCTGTCTGGTTTTTTTTCTGTGTGTGTGCATATGTGCATATTTTTCCTATATCCCACTGTAATAAGTCAACATCCCTTTAGAAACTTAATGCCTGTAGTCAGAATTTGTACAGGCATGTAGTTAGAAACTGCAATGTCTCTTGATCACATGGCCCCTGAATGTCAGTCTTCACCTTCTTAGTTCAAGGCCTCTTTCTCACTCTGCTCCTTGAAATTCAGGACCTCTATAAAGTAAATCCTAAATAAAACCCCAACTTTGACATCTATTTTATTTTAAATTCCACAGAATTTGAAACCCAATCACTTAACAAGGACCTGAACTTTAGAGAATTTCTTCTCATGGAACAGAACCTTGATAAAAATAAAAGCACATATCCTGTATTGGAATGTGGGATAACAGAATACCAATGTATGCTTCCTGATGATAAAAAAAAGATGTGTCGCTCTGGGTTTTGCTCACATGGGACAGGGAACATGTAAGAAATAGCCATGGCATCTATTCAGTCTTGTTGACAATATATAATTACTTTTAGAAAATAGTGGGTTTTTTCTTAAGGGTAGGAAGAAAGCAAAGGGAAACTAAAACCAGTTTTATTGTAATTAAAATGGTTTTCTTTTTTCGCTGCTTCTAAAGTAACAGCATAAATTTTTAAAAAGATACGGTTCCATCTTACAGATACATAAATAAATCCTAAATGCATACACATCCACAAAAGTTCCCAAAGAGCCAAAACAATGTTAATGAAGAACAAAATTGGATGTATCACATTTTCTTACTTCAATATATACTGCAAAACCACAGCAATCAAAGAAGCTTGAGGATGGCATCAAAACAGACAGACTGACTAAAACCCACACACTGCCAGGATATTGATCTTGATAGAGAGGTTAAGGATACACAGTAGGGGAAGGGTAGTCTCTTCAATAAATGATGCTAAAAAACTTGGCGTCTAAATGCAATGGAATAAAATTGAATCTTTATCATGTGCTATAAATAAAACCCAGTTAGAGGGACACAGAACAACTAAATCCAGAATATTCCCAAAACAGTGCCAGTGGTGACTATCATCCCCTTGCATATAACCCAGAAAGCACAGACAACAAAATCAGAAACAGACAAGAGGGACCAATAAAAAACAAAAAATAGAAATAAAATAAATTAAAAAATCTCTGTGTGCATGTAAATTGAGGCAGAACCATAAAATGGTAGATAATAACCACAAAAGATTAGGTGCATGGAGAATTAATGTCCATAACATCGCTTAGCAGCACAATACAGACAACCTGGGAAACGGTGTGAAATTCTTGTCACAAAGACTATACACAAATGATCGATAGACCGAGAAAACTCAACATACTAGTCAGCATGAAAGTAAAAATAAATCCTGCTTATGTATGTTATGATGGCAATTACAAAAGAGATGGAAGGTAACTGCTGAGGTGCCTTCATAAAGGAATCCTAGTACACTGTTAGCACCAAGGGAGATCAGCCTAAGAAAACAGTGTGAGTGGGTGCTCCCCCAAATCGGAATACTAATGGAATAAACCAAAATCTCACTTCTGGAAGTTTACCTGAAAGACTAAAAGTGCTACCTCAAAGACATCTTTGCATTCCTATCTTCAGGATGTGTTATACACACTAGCAAAGCCATGAGAACACCTGGAAGTCTAATGCAGGTAAAGCATATGTATACAATGGAATATTACCAGACCAAAAGAAAGAAACCTTTGCATTTGTGACAGATAATTAAGCTTGAGGAGATATGCTAAATGAACAAGACTTATATACAGGAATAAATACCACAAGACATCGTCTACATTAAGTCTGAGAGTTGAAGTCATAGAAACAGTGTAGAATGGTAGTCCTGCTCTGGTTTTGAAAGAAGAAAGAATTAGAGAGGAGCTGGCACAGAGGTCGCTGGTTTCCATGACATAAGACAAGAACAGAGCCTTACTGCATGCACTTTATTGCAAAATAAAGTTTTCTTATGCTAAATTTTCTCATCAACTTAAAAGGAGGAAAGAATAAAACGTTAAGAGATAATGGTCAAGTGTGGTGATACATTGTGTACCCTAATACATTTATCTGAGGATCAAAGGACAGAGCCAGTCACCAGATTAGACATAGAGGCCAAACAGTGGTGGCACACACCCTTAATCCTATTACTAGGAAGACAGAGATCCATCTGGATCTCTCTCTGTGAGTTCAAGGCCACACTGGAAACAGAGCCAGGCAGTGGTGGCACATATCTTTAATCTCAGCACTTGAGATTTCATGTCTCTGCTTGGGAAGGACACATGCCTTTAATCCCAGGAAGTAATATGGCAGGACACAGGAAGGTATATAAGGCATGAGGAAACAGGAACTCTCCCTGGAGACTGAGGATTTCATAGAGATAAGAACTTGTGGCTGGCTTGCTCTGCTTCTCTGATCTTTCAGCTTTCACCCCAATGTCTGACTCTGGGTTTTTTAATTAATAAGACCTTTTAAGATTTGGGTTACAGTTAAGTTTGTGGCATTTATTTATATTGACAGTTTCGTCTTTAAACTCATCAAGATATATACATTCCACTCAATCATACCACAAGGGCACTTGCTCAGCTATGTTCATATCAGCATTGTTTGTAATAGCCAGAACCTGGAAACAACCTAGATGCCCTTCAACTGAAGAATGGATAAATAAAATGTGGTACATATACACAATGGAATACTACTCAGCAGAGAAAAACAATGACATCATGAGGTTTGCATGCAAATGGATGGATCTAGAAAAAATCATCCTGAGTGAGGTAACCCAGACTCAGAAAGACAAACATGGTATGTGCTCACTCATAGGAGGATACTAGATGTAAAACAAAGATGACTAGACTGCTACTCACAACTCCAGGGAGGCTACCTAGAAAACAGGACGGTAAGAAAGACACAGGGATCGCCCAATGACAGAGAAATGGATGAGATCTATGTGAACAACCTGGACGTGAGTGGGGGTAATGAAGGGCAAGGGTCGAGGGAAA